AACCAACTGAGCCACCCAGGCGCCCTGGGTTTTATTATTCTTAACCAGATTTGGAAATCAGTACTATTTGACGGCTTTTGATTTTACATTAAAAAGAAAAACATTTCCTTGAACACAACCTTTTTTTTTTTCTTTCATAATTACAGTTTTCAAATATCTCCTTTAAGGCTATACAAGATTCTCACTTTGATTAGATATTTGTTATAAAACTGTTTTAAAGACTAAAGAACAAATATGGTTAATAGTTCAATAATTCTTATCTAAACTTAAAAGGACTTTTTTGATTTGATAGGTAAGATGTCATAAGAAGGACTAAATAATTTAGAGATGTATGACAATTTTCTAACATCGAGAAGATTCAAGAAAGATAGAAGTAGAAGCACTAGGAGAAACTTTTAAATGTTTACTCTCATTAATATGAAAATAATGGAAACGAGCAGTGAGTCAGAATTTATTTCAGAAGGCAAGTTCTTATATAAAGATGAAAATTTTTATTAGCCATACATAATTATGTTCAATCTCCGTAGTTGTTTTGCTTGGCAGCCCTTTCAGCTCTAAATCATATGGTCATTCCTGGGAAGCAAATGTGGCAGAGGGTCTTACCAATGAATCAAAATTTCTGGTAAATTAAAGTGCCACCAAGGAGGGTCTCACTCCCATTACTTTGCTTTTTTTTTTCCTTGTCTAGTATTTATAAGCAGTTCAAAAAAAAAAAAAAGACACACACACAAAAGGAATAATTCCCTCTCCTTACTTTGAATGAAATGAGATTTAAATGTTCCACCCTTTTCCTACTCCCACTTAATTGGCAGCTGTGGCTACATGTATCTGGCTGGTCTCCCAGTTCCTGAATATGAGATCAAAGATATGTATATGGGAAAGTGATAGAGCTTGGACGTTTGCTGGAGAACAGTGTAGTTTTTTATATAAATAGCAGCTTTACAGAAGCACAGTTAACCAGCATTCAGCATTTTTAAAGCAACTGGGTTTTTTTTTCTCTTTAGAGAAAAAAAGGAAATATATTTTTGCTAATTCAAAAGGTGATCTTAAGGAAGTCATTTCTTTATAATATTTTTAATATTTTGAGATGTTTACTCTCTTTGGGGTTATCCATGTAGTAATACCTCTCCTTAGATTTTAAGTGAGGTAATAAGTGCAAAGCAACATAATTACCTAAAGTCAGATCCAGACCTAAGTGGTGGTGTGCTCATATGTGGTCACTCAAATGCTGCTAACCTTATGGACTTCATCTTCAGTGAATCCTTGAAAGTTGAGCACCAGCTATATAAGCAAAGCACAAGTTGTTAAGAAGTACCAGGCAGACTCCTTGCTCTGTATAGTTTCTGGTCTAGCTTACTGTTCTCCAGCCAAATGTGAAAGACCAGTTTGTTCTCTTGTTTTGTTTTGTTGTTTTTAATTTCCAGTCCATCATGGACCAATACTTTGGTAAAATACAATAAAAATGAGTTACAGTTACCCTTGAACAATGTGGGGGTTAGGGGCGCTGACACTTCATGCAGTAAAAAAATCCAGGTATAACTTTTGACTCCCCAAAAACCTAACTAATTGCCTACTATTGACCGGGACCTTATCAATAACATAAAAGTGCCAATTAACACGTATTTTGTATCTTATAGGTATTATATGCTCTGGTCTCACAATAAAGTAAGCTAGAGAAAAAATCAAAAAGGAAGAGAATATATTTGTAGTACTGTATGTGTATTTATTGAAAAAAATTTATAAGTGGACCTGTGCAGTCCAAATCCATCTTGTTTAAGAGTCAAAATGTGTACTAGGAAATGAAATTTAAAAGATATATAAAATAAGCTCTGATTTTTAAATTACTATTAGATTCAATAGTTATAAAAGTATTCTGTCAAATTGCCATAAAATTTTCTAACCTCTTATTCGTACAGACCAGAAACACTTATCTCCTCATAGGCCAGTAACAAATGTTTCTGGACCAACACTGATGCGTGGATCACACTTAAAGTCACACTAGTCTTTTTGCAAGGGGGCAGGTGTAACAACTACTTTCTTATACGTAGGCTAAACATGTGCTGAATACACATCATACTTTTCTACCCACATATAATTACTCATTCTCTTTGCTTAGCCTAGAATGCTCTTTCTCTCCCATCTCCAACTACTGAAATCCCACCCAGTCTTTAAAATGTGTTTCAGATGCTATCTTTTTCATCAACTCTTTCAAATGCCTTCCCACCAATACCAACAACAACAGCTGGGTTTGAGCTTTCCCTCCTCTTTGTTAATATTTGTAGTCAGCCTCATTACCATAATTATAAGAAGGCAGTATAATGGCATGAAGAGGTTTGAGCTCTAGAATTAAAGAAACCAAGACTCAAGCCTCAGCAGGGTGATCTTGAACGAGTTCTCAACTTCTCTCTTTCCTCAACTGTAAAATGTTTCTGAATATGGTGCTTACCCCAAAAGTTTGTTATAAGTTTTAAATGAGAATAATCCATGAGAAGCGTCTTACATAGGAACTGGCACATACATAGTAAGCATTCCATTAATATAACTACCATTATTTGTTCCTGACTTATCTCCCATCCTTTCTTTACCCTTATTAACTTACTAGATTGCCATCCCCTCTGGGAATCAGCACAGTGCCTTGCTCAATAAATACAAGTTGAATTTAAGTGCTTGTAGAATTTAAGTTATGCAAACAAGCAGTGCAATAGAATCCAGAGAGAGATTACTCGTAGTTGGAGAGGTGAGGGAAGTTTCATGGAGATGATGGTATTTAAACTGAACTAGGTGTAGGGGTCAGCATTCTGACCATAATTGGTGACAGGCCCTGACATCTGCCCGAAGACAAGGAACACTGCACTGGTTGGCTGTGTGAAGACTGTACAGGAACATTGGGAAGTTGAGCAAGAAAGGCAGCCTGAGGTCAGGTTATAAAGGGCCTTAAGGCCTCCTTGCAGTATTGTACTTTCACCTTTGAGTATGTGGGAGCTTCCGAGTCCTGCTTCTTGTGGATGGTGATTTTGAGATGGAGGAAATGGGAGCCTAAGGACCCAAGGAGGAAACTGGGAGACGATAAAATCCTTAAACCTGGTTTAATCCCTAAACCAGCATTTTTTAAACTGTTCCTCTGGATATTAATGTTCTTCCTAGTGTTGATTGATTCCCAGGGGCAGTGGGGGTAGGAGGGAAGATTTAACTGAAAAAAAAAAAAGTTTGAGAATTGCACCATGTCCAGCTCTCCCCCTGGAGACTGACCATGCATCCTGACTTATTGACAGTCTTTTACTCAAAAAGTCTGTTTAGACTCATTGAATTAGTGTTTCCCAAACTTAATTAATTGGCCACAGAACATTTTTTCACGAGACATCTGTAAACATCTCTCAAAAAACAGTTTAAGAAACAGTACCATAAACAGTCCTAAACCAAGGGTATTGTAATGAAAGAACTAGTAAAATTTGGCTATTTCTCAGTTCTTAGCAGACCCTGGGATGTTGGTGCAATTAGGTAATTGCCAGACAGGAACCATGTTGTCTTGCACTGCTTGGTATTTGGCAGGATTACTCTGAGCAGGGATTTTGCAGGACCTCACCCGTTCCTTATATTCCGAGCACCAGGTTATTTATGTTCCATCATACCCATCTTATGTCCATTGTGTGCATCTCCACAAATGTCCCCTGTTGCCATGCCTTTGTGACTCCCAACCTTTGTGAATTGGAACCCTCTAATGAATCTATTTTTGTTCTCCTTCCTCTATACTTTCCAAAGATTTGTTATACAGTATGTTATATATGTAAGGAAAGTGAATGAAAAACAGTTTGTTTAAAATGATACCCCCCAGGGCGCCTGGGTGGCTCAGTTGGTTAAGCGACTGCCTTCGGCTCAGGTCATGATCCTGGAGTCCCGGGATCGAGTCCCATATCGGGCTCCCTGCTCAGCGGGGAGTCTGCTTCTCCCTCTGACTCTCCCCCCTCTCATGCTCTCTCTATCTCATTCTCGCTCTCAAATAAATAAATAAATAAATAAATAAATAAATAAATAAATAAATAATAAATAAAATAAAATGATACTCCCTGAGAAATTAAGGAGTACACTTGATCATGTCAAAACCAGGTTGGGATTCACTGGGCTATGTGATCATACCATTTCTTCCCCTCATTTTAACAGGATTAAAATTAGTAGTAGTAATGGCTTTAAGTTATTTTGCTGGGTTATTTATGCCTGAATCAGTACAAATCTTGCATACCTTCAGAAATTAATAAAAATAGTAGTTAGTCATTTGTTTAGTGGATTTTAATACAGTAGATTAAATTAATCAGTAAATTTTTTAAAAGCAAGATAAGCTGATTATGGGCATAATTGGCACTTAATAGTTGCTTAGCAAATTTCAGGTAAATGATGCTTTTTTCAAGGAGAATTATAAAATTATAATACATTTTCAAGGATTGTTTCAGTGGATATATGTAGAGTGCTACATATAGAACCCGGCACACAGAAAACATTACATAAAGTATTTGCTACTGTTGTTGTTGTTGTTGAAGATTGGGGTTAGGTCCTGCCTGGTTATTATTTCCCAGTCTTCAGAACAGTTCACACTCCGTTTTTCTCAATTGCTAGACATTTTTCATTGAAATTGCAGGAGCATTTCACCTAAACAAAAACTCAAGAATTAGAATTCAGTTTGAGTCGTTAATGTAAATCATTTTGGCTATAATAAATTGTTAAAGTAAGACATTAAAATCCAGAATCTTTGCATATTTAAATAATAACCAGCTACTTATTTTTATATAATTATTTCATCCATTTTCCAATTTAGGACACAGTGCCTTTTAAATATTTTTGTATATTAGTCTTAAAGCCTTCCATACATTTTCATATTATAGAAAACATGTATATTTATATACATTACTTTTGATTTTAAAGTGCTTGTTGTAGTTTTTTTTTTTTTAGTGCTTTTTGGAAATCCAGATCTATAAATAACTAATTTTTTTCTGCTTCAATTCCTCCAGCTTACTGAAACAAATTCAGGTATCAAGTGCTTGGACTCCATGTGCTGTTTCTCAGAAGGAGAAACAGCGTGCGCATCTGTTGGAAGAATGCTGGAACGAGTAGTAGGAAGATGTAGTCCAACCCATGTCAGCAGGTGTGAAATTTCTCTAAGTAGCCTTTGCTGCAGATGAGTGTCCTATAAACTGGAACAGGATGAACCTGCATCTCTAGATACCTAATAAATCAGCAGCTGGTTTTACCAACTGAAGCGGGAGGTGTGCTATTTATTAGCACTCTTTGATGGTAGATTTCATTTTGTGGCTTTGGGGTAGGGGGCTTTTTCACTAACAAAGGAAGAGAAAGCACCTTTGAAGAGACTTCATCTAATGAACAAAAAGTTTTGCTTTACAGTCTTTCTAAAATATGGTGAATAGGAGTGTGTATATGATACTTATTTGGTTTTTATAACTTTCTTTTTTTGATTATACCTTATATTACTGTTTTATTTCCTGTATTTGTTTTTTGTTTGTTTGCTTTTTGTATTTACAAAATAGTCTACACATAATAGTAAAATCAAAGGATTTCGCTTCTCTTACTCTTCATGTATATTTTCTGGTCAGTCATTTGAGACTTTGAGGTATTTATAAACACAAAAGGCTGTATTTCTGCTCTCCTACACCATTTTATCTCTGTAATGAGGTTTTTAAAATGAGTTGTGATATTTTTTTACTTGGTATTCATGGTCTAATTAAAAGTTTTTAAGTTAGAATAGGGCACATTAAATTATGGTTTAGAAGAATCTTAGCATTTCTGTCCCCTCCCAAATCTATTTCTTGAATTAGATTTATCAGTGCTTGCTTTTGTGGATCATAACAAAAAAATGCCATGTTTTGTTAAATGCCACTTAAATTTATTTAAAAGTGAAATGGATTCATTTCTTCATTATTTCCCCAAGAGACATATTATTCAGGGGACATTAGGAAGTAGCAATAACTTTTTTCATGCTTTGGTGTTAAGGTTAATTATATCATATTCCTAAAATTAGAGCAGCAGTGCACTGGTGTGCAGGAATAGTTATAGATGGGCAGGGATAGATAGATGGTGATTTCCATTGTCCACCATGTACCACATGAATAATCACTTTCTACATGTGCCATGGCCTGGAAAAGTTTGGAATATACCCCAGGAGGGGGGAATAGAGGGGGTGGAGGAAGCACTATTATCTGCTGATAAAATAATTTTTAATATTTGCCTAGCTTTTTGTTTTAAAAATGATGAGTAATTATCATTCATATGTATCATAAAATTCAGGTAACATTTACTGGCAAACGTATTAGTTCCCATTTTGCCTTTAGTTATGGCCATGTCTTTGTGGTACAGTTGCATTTATAAATAACATTCTTAAAACATCTGTGTTTCCAGTCTCCATTTATTGATTATAACATGTGATCAAAAATATTTCCATAATGCTGTGGTATCATTTTGTAGTAATTTTATTCTCCATAAAAGAATTACTATGAACAGTTAAATTTATTGGGACTTATGTATTTTGACTTACACAAATGTATTATAAAATGCATTATTAGAAAGGAGCTCTGTCATGTACCCAGGCCACCAAGTTTTCCAAAAGAAGTTCCAGAAGGACCTACTTTATAGTATTATTTTACTTATTAAAACAGCTTTACTTTATAGAACTAAGGTGGGAGTTAGACTAAGAGACTACTATAGAACTTCCACAGAATTTTTTAAATTTCTGCTTCAATAGGAATTTTAATTTTAATTTAATTTTAATGACAGTATACATCTTCACTATTAAAAAAACTGTAATTAATTTTAAATAAGCCAAAAATATTTTTGCTTTATATATATATTCTCATTGTTTGATATCCATTATTCAGGTAATAGACCCCCATTTTTCTTTACATAGCCATTTTTACACTGTATTATCCCTTTGAACCTGCCCCTGGAAATAGGGGATTTATTTCAGCACATTCTCCTGAAGGTGGCTGTTATCATCTGTACTTTTTTTCACTTAAAATTGTATCATAATATTTTCTTTTGTAAGATTTTATTTTTTATTTTCCTAATAAAATGTTTAACAGTAATATCTTGTTTGACAGACTATAAATATCTTACCAGTTTTGTCCAACATCTCAGGTTATGTTATTGGTTAGTACTGTCATTATCCTTTTTTTTTTTTTAAATGAATAATCTAAAAAGTCCTTTAAGATCTATTCAGTTTTTTTCTAGTGGATAAAAATCATACAATATGAAAAACCACTTGGTGCTTTTCAAAGGGCTATATGGAAATTGCCATATATCCATTAACATATTTAAACTTTGAAAGTCATTTTGATATGTAGAGTTTTGTTTCTGTTTTTTTCCATATAATTGTATTAGAGAAAGACATTTGGCATTTCTGTTTTGATATTGAGACAGCCTTTATACATTTCTATTTCATGTCTAACTTAAAAGGTGAAACAAGACTACTACTTCTGTTACAAGATGTAGAAGCCCTTGGATATTTGTTCTATTAACCTATTAAGCATAAGATGTAATGAGCATCACTTGAGAAATACAACTAGTGCTTTCATATGCACATTCTACTGATTAAAAACTTTTACCGTCCAGGCACAAAAATTCTTACATTTTATTAATTGATGTTTTCGAAGGAATATGCCATATTGCAGGCTTGGTTTCAAATGTAGCATCATGGTGCTATATGAAGAATATGCCCTGTTGTACACTAAAGGCTGTACTTCAGCAATAAATGATTTCCTTTGTGCATTTTACCAACAGTTACTTTATCCTAATCAAACCTATTTTCTGAATAGAAAGGACTTAATAGTTAATATGTAGTTCCAGTATTTAATGTTCTGTCAAATATGATATTTAACATATGAGTGCACATGTGTGCTTTGGAAAGATCAAAAACAAAAGAAACCTTACCTAATAAAATTCTTCTATGTAAGCAATGGTTGGAAAAGAGGAAAACTAATATAAAATATTGGCAATTTGGGAATGGAAACTGAGTGACTCCCGATAATTAGGGTGTTGGGAGCTATGTTTTGTCATATGTATCTAAGCATACTTTTTCTTGGATAAATACTTTTAAGAAATGTTCATAGACTCACTTCATTCATTTATTTATTTTACAAATACTCCCTGCTATGTACCAGGTGCAGTTCTAGGTACTAAAGAGAGACAATAGTGAACAGGTCCTTCCTTAAACTAAGGTGTTTAAAATTAGAGAATTTGTAAACTACCAGTATGGTTGTAGCTTATTTGTGTTTCTCTTTGCCAACTTTGTAAAATTTCTAGGTTCCAAACTTCATTATCACTGTGCTTGCTTAATTGATTTAAACTTAAACTACATACAGAATCTCAAGGAAACAGTGGATTATTTGATGAGTGAATTTAAAAGCCATTTTAAATGCTAGTCTCTTCCTCTAACATCTTTGTTTAGGAAAGTAGGAACCCTGGAAAAAGTTACATAAAATGTATTTATTGTTTAGTGCTCTTAGTCTTCTCTAAGAAAAGCCACCTTTGACTTGGTAATCCTGATACTGTCCTTGAAATGGGTTAGGCTATTTTAAGCATGGAAGGCTATTTCTGGTCTTGAGTTATTTTAGCTTAAATTAATAGAGCTGCAAATAAAGCATTATGTAATTAATCGCTTATAGGCCTTATTATTCAGACAGTAGTTAAATTTTCCAGACCATTAAAGGTTTATTTGTTCTCAGTTAAGTGAAAACTGTACTGAGTGACAGCTGTCTTTGATACCTATTGAATAAACCATTTACTGCATTCAAGCTAATTATGTTAAAATCTTTAGAATAGAATTTATAGCTGAAAAGAAATAGTATAATATAATATGAACATATTACTATTTCATTCCAAAGCTTTTGGTAAGTGGGATGTTTGTTTGCTTCTGTAATGTCGAAATATAGCCTAGTTGCTTTTCAGTAAAACTGATTGTGCATAACTCTTAGTAACATACTTCTTATTGTATTGTTAAAATTTTAAGAGCATCTCATGCTTTACTACTTACAGAAATTGTTTTAATGCTAATGAATGTCTGAATTTTGGCTAATATTTAAATAATGACTAGAGCATTATTTTTTTTCCAAGTTCTTGTATTATATAAATAGACTGGTCATTAAAGGCTAGTATGAAGAACTTCTCTTAGCATTTAAAAATGAATCAATAAGTGATTATTTTAATATTCAAATTTCATTTTGATCCTAAGTTTTAGAGTAAATTTTTGTCTCACTTAAAACATAGGTCCTGGTGAGCCAAACTTTTCTCTTATTGTTACTTTAGATCTTGGAGTGCATCGGATCCTTTCTATACCAACGACAGGAGCATCTTGACTCTCTCCACAATGGACTCATCTACTTGTTAAAGGGGCAGTAGTACTTTGTGGGAACCATTTCAACTCCTTTCCTAAAATTCAGTGTGATCATCCTGGTAATGGCCACACTAGTTCTGCAGAATTACTTTTTGAAATTTCTCGAGTATTTCATACCCACTCAGAGTTATAATGGCAAACAAATAAAAAGCATTGGCATAAACCCCTTTCAACCCCTTTAATTTAAATCTGAACTTGTCAGAATTTGTGAAAGAGACATTTTCCATCTCTTTGGATTGTCCCTTGTGCTTATGGGACTCCAAATGGCATTTCATCCTCTTGCTAAGGCCACTATATTTTAATATCAAGGTAGAAAAGGGAACTAATTCCTAGTTAATTGTATTTTTTAGTATTAGCTTGGTTATTGAATCTTCTATTCAAATCTGCTTCTGTAAATTTTGCTGAAAAGTTTGCCCTGAAAACTCTATTTTTTTATTAGAGTTATATTTGAAGCTTTTCATGCGAAAAGTTAATGTGAATAGAAAGGAATTTTGGTCCCTCAGTGACCCATGTTGTTAATTCTTTAGTGCTTTTTAAGTTCACAGAGCAAATTAGGAGAATGCATTTCCCACCATTATTTACTGCATTGTGGATAGTAATTATATACCAATACCAAACTTCTCTAAATACTGTAACACAATCAGTAAAATTAAGCATATACATGCAAAGGGTATATTATATATATAAATCAGGAATCAAGTCCATTCACCAAATTTCAAGTTGATGTTTAATATTTTTGTGACAGAATACAAAGAACCTATAGTGGGTAAATTACATACCATTAGCATATTATTTAATGTGTTTATCATTGGATCTTTTGCATGCTTTAATCTGGTTAATATATTTAAATTTGCCTTTTTTTTCCCCTCTATCTGCAGGCTCTGTTTATAGTATTTTATGACACTGTTGTAAAGTTCAACTATATCAATAAAAAACAAGTTTGGACAGTATTTTAATATTGCAAATATTTTTAATCATACAAATCAAAATATTAGGGTAATTAAAACAAAAAGATAAGAGCCTCTTTCTGTGGCTAATTTAGAATTGTTCTTGCCTTTCAGTAAGCTAGAGTGCAGAATAAAGGATTTCACATAAGAATCCTATTATTCTTAGGTTAGTATATGTTATCTAAGTTACAGTAGACTACCACAGTGAAGTGAAATCTGTTCAGTGTCCCATTACTAGGTATATTTTCAGGCATGGCTACAGGATGTAAGTGAAACAAAAGTTTAAAATGCTAAATCTTAAGGGGTAATGGCAGCATAAATTAAAATGCTAAGAATGATTAATCAGGTACATATTGCTGTAATTGACTCACTGTACTTCAGTACTTAATTTCCATCCTGAGTTTATCATATGATCAGTGTTGTCATTTGTTTTGATAAAAACGTCATTTTAAAATTTGGAAATGATTATTGGTTAAAGAACTTACCGAGCTCTAAGTATGTGATTGTGTACATAACATTTAAAATTGTATGGAAATGGTTAAATAAGGTTTTCCAAAATTTTCTCTTGAGAATATAATAACTCCTTTCTGTGGATATATTCTTCAACCTTCCACCTCTTCCCATCTCATGAATATAAGACTTCTGGAATTGGGCTAGTAGGGAAAGAATGATAGAGTCAAGAATTAAGACTTTACCTTGTTTGCTGGTAAACTATTTTTTTTAATTTTTATTTTCTTGCTAATATAACATTTGTCTGTTTCAGTAATACAAGGATATTAGATTATGAATTTCAGCTTAAATATTAATTTTCATTAGTAGCCCTTCTTTAACTTAGATATTCCAAAATTGAGTTTAAGAATATACTGTGATTCTGGAAATACATTAAAGGGATAATACAGTGTACAATATATATACTTACCAATTCATGTTCCAGAGGAGGAAAATTGCAGAAAATATTCAGTTAGGGTAGTTTAGTGGAAGATAACTCAGAATTTGTTTCTTCTTAGAATGTCTTATAAAATATTTATCTAACAAAATGACATGTTAATAGTCCTGCATTACATCTTCCTTAACAATTTACAGTGTTTGTTTGCCATAAACCAAACTGACTACTGACACTAGAGAAGGACCACAAAGCCATCCAAGCAGTCTCTGACCAACTGCCGCAGTGGAGGTCACCCAGCCTATGTGGTGCTGAAGGTGGTGATGTAACTGTCTGCATTGACTGAAGTTATTTAAGAACTTTATGTCAAAAAAAAAGTAAATGTCATCTACTGATAATGCTCATCCTAATCTGTTGAAAACCTCTTTTTAAAGGAAAATTATTATAAGAAAAGAGCTTTCTTCAACTTAAGAAAGTAACTGTTGTCTACAAGCTTTAAATAGTTTTCTAGTGCTAATACTCATATTTTAAAACTTACTATGTAGCCAGTAATCACAAAAAGATCCCCTTTGCATATTTCTTTAAAATTCTTTGGAAAGTATGATGTTGGTAATTAAGTTACTCTTAAACCTGCCAAAACCAGAGTAAGATGCTACATGTGTTTTTACTAATTGATGGTCTCAGATCTGTTTGCCTCACTTTCTTACCTTAGTCTGAAGGCTATAGCCCTGAAGATAGTAGTAAGCACCAAGACGGTTTTCAAAATTGCCCATCAGCTGCTTTAAAAGATAACTCAGTACCCTTCCTCAGCTTTAGCGAGCAATAGGCTCACTTTAGGAGGATTAGAGTATGGGCCAGGCAACTACACCTACCAAGCTTGCTGTGGAGTTGAGAAGAAAGAAGGGAGAATTTAGTTTGAATTTCTCTTAACTGCCCTCCTCCTTGGGTCTCAATCTCCATGAGGTCCAAAAAGGCTTCCCAGACCTATACAGACTCTGGCACTGTCCTGAGTAGGAGATTAAACTGAGGTAAATCACCGCATCAGGAAATTCCTTTACTCAGACCAGGTCATTTCTTTTTTTTTTTTTTTTAATGTTTTATTCATTTATTCATGAGAGTCAGAGAGAGAGAGAGAGGCAGAGGCAGAGGCAGAGGGAGAAGCAGGCTCCCACCTAGCAGGGAGCCTGATGCGGGACTCGATCCTAGGACCCTGGGATCATGACCTGAGCCGAAGGCAGACGCTTAACCATCTGAGCCACCCAGGTGCCCCAGACCAGGTCATTTCTGCTGTAAGATTGTGGATTGTGGAATTGGGCTTGTGTTTGAAGCTTGAGACTCCTATCCGATAGGCAGAAGTCAAAGCCACTAAAAAAATTGACAGTTGATACCAAAAAAAATTTTAAATATGCTATTCTGAGAAGTTATTGGGGGCAGGGGAAAAGGGAAAATCATCTATGCTTGTGTTTTCCTGTAAAGATCACGTTGAAGTATGATATCAGCAGGTATTCATAAAACAAACACACCAAAGAGTTATGTAAAATATGTTTTATTAATTTTGGTCCCACTTCTGAGACATTTTTATTTCTATCTTGAAATGAGTCATCTATTTTCATAAAAATGGAACATTATTAAAGTGCTGTTTATGTGAGAACACTTGAATGATTTTCCTACAAAAAAATAGATCACAATTAATGATATGTTTGTAATAATGGTGATTGTTAGATTTTTATGGGGAATTAGTAGTTGGCAATACTGTAGCAACATTTAGTTTAAAATCCAGGACCTCAGACACTGTGGCTGTCTAATAAAATCCTTTAACATTTCTCTGCATTGTCAGTAAGTGTAGTTACTTATTGTATAGCTGTCTAATTTTTTAAAGTTTATGAAATTATATTTATGGAATAAAAATTTTCCTACATAATTAAAAGTGTTTTTTCATTATTTAAGCATTTTAAGCCTCTATCTGCTTGTCACAACTAACACTGCCAAAAACTTTTTGATGAAATTTTATTACATTTACCTTCCATATGGTACAGGGATGCTATTACGCCATTCACTGACTCCAGTGTCAAAAATCTGTAAGTTTTTCATTTGCCCAGATTTTATAGATCATCAGTACAGCTCCTGAAAAGCAGCCTGATAGAAGTGTCCCAGCTGTAAAGACCAACACACTTCAACTAGGAATTGCATCACTCATGAAAAAACAGCCACTATGAACTTGGAAATGAAAATATGTGCTTTTTAAAAAATACAGCTGATATAATGTCAATTTATATATAAAGTATTCTAACCTAATGGCAATCATTATTCCTTATGCTTCCTCAGTTGCCATTTAAAGCACACATAACGGTCTAATATACGTTTATTATAAGGTAAGCTGTTATATTTGCCCAAATGTTAGTATATGCAAAGAGTGACAATGTATGATACATATTTTTTTATTTCTGAAAGGAAATAATATGATCCTGGACAAATCAGTTTAGGCATCTGTTTTTATTTAAAAAGTAGTTGAGGGTTTGAACTGTATCTATGGTAACTTCAGTCTTTAACTTCTATGGTACAAGATGATGAGTAATGTTTTTTGAATTAGAAATTTAGGACAAGAAATAAAACTTTATGAGCAACATTTCACCAGAAGACTTAGTGAATTCGGAAACAAGTCAAGTTTTCTTTTGAAGAGCTGACTCAAGGACAAAGCTGCTATAAATGGGGATAAGTAAATATGTCTCTGTGAACAACTCTTTTTGGAAGTGATAGATAGCTCTCTGATAAATCAGGGGAAATGATTTGTCCTCAAGTAAAATTTGTGGACCGTGGAGTGCATAGATTTTAGAATTCTATCACTTTTGACAAATCTATATACATCTGTGTGATCCTTACCACAATCCAGATAAAGAATTTTCCACCATCTCAAAAACTTTCCCTTTTGCCACTTTCCAATGAATTTATTCCTCCCTTTCTCCCTTGCAACCATTTTTCTATTTTTTTATTGTCATAGAGTAGTTTTACCTGTTCTTGAATTTCATATAAGTGGAATTATACATGTTCACTTTTACATCTGGTAAAAGTGAACATGTAGAACTTTACATTTGCTCAAAATGACTGAGATTCATCAACATTGTTGCATATATACTTGGTTTCTTTTTGCTACTCAGTCATGTTCCATTGCATGAATATCCTGTAATTTGTCCATTCTCTTATTTATGGACCTTTGAGTTATTTTCAGTTTGGTGTGATTATAAATAAAGTTATGAGCTTTCTTTCTGAACATGTTTTCATTTCTCTTTTGAAATAACTGGGATTGCTGGGTCACAAGTTAGGTTTATGTTTAATTTTATAAGAAACTGCTGAAAATGTTTCCAAAGTTATTGTATATGCCATTTTATGTGCATTCATATGCAATTATGAGAGTTCCAGTTCTGTTATATCTATAGCATGATTATTAATGATGTTTAACTCCTTTTCATATGCTTATTGGCAGTTTTATATATTTTCTATTACAGTTTTCTTAACATTGTAGAATATAATACATATACAAAGTATATGTTAATCGACTTTATGTTATTCCGTCCAATCCAACAGTTAAGCTGTTAATACTTAGGTTTTGAGAAGTCGAAAGTTATAAAGTGGAAATTTGTGCACAGGTGGTCAGTGCCCTTGACCCCTGTGTTGTTCATGGGGTATTTTCTTAATGGTGACTTTGGTTTGCAGAAGAAGTGGTGTATTTTGATGAAGTCCAATTTTTTTTCTTTTTATGGTTATATGTTTTTGTGTCTTGTCTAAAATATACTTGTCAAACCCAAAGTAATGAAAATATTTTCCTATGTTTTCTTCTAAAAGCATTACAGTTTTCACTTTTATGTTTAGGTCTATGATCTGTCTCTAATTCATTTATATGTAGGGCGTGAGGCAAGGACTAAGGATCTTCCTTCCTCCTAACCCCTGTAAGGCTGTTTGGTTTAGCTACATTTGTTGAAAATATTCTGTCTCCATTGAATTCATTTGGTGTCTCTTTTTAAAATAAACTGACTGTAGGGGTGCCTGGGTGGCTCAGTCAGTTAAGCATCCAACTCTTGGTTTCCCCTAAGGTCATGATCTCAGGGTTGTGAGATTGAGCCCTGTGTGGGGTTCTGCACTTAGCACTGAGCCTGCTTGAGATTTTTTCCCTCTCCCCCCCTTCTCTACCCCTCCCCCTGCTCCTGCACGCCCTCTCTAAAATAAAATAAGATCTTTAAAATTAGCTGACTATAAACATAAATCTACTTTTGGGCTCTCTGATCTATTCATTTATTCTTGTGCCAATAACACACTATCTTGATTACTATAGTTTGTTTTTTTTTAAGATTTTATTTATTTGACAGAGACACCGCAAAAGAGGGAACACAAGCAGGGGGAGTGGGAGAGGGAGAAGAAGGCTCCCTGCTGAGCAGGGAGCCCTATGTGGGGCTCTATCCCAGGACCCTGGGATCATGACCTGAGCTGAAGGCAGACGCTTAACCGACTGAGCCACCCAGGCGTCCCTATGGTTTTGTGTTTTTTTTAAGATTTTATTTATTTATTTGAGAGAGGGAGAGATAGAGCACGAGCAGGGTGTAGGGGCAGGGGGAGAGAGAAATGCAGACTCCCCACTGAGCAGGAAGTCCAACCAGGGCTCCATCCCAGGACCCTGGGATCATGACCTGAGCCAAAGGCAGACGTTTCACTGACTGAGCCACCCAGGCGCCCCTTGATTACTATAATTTTATACTGAACTTTGAAATCAGGTAATCAAAGTTCCCCAACTTTGTTGTCAAGATATTATGGCTATCCTAGGTCCTTTAATCTCCATACAGATTTTGAAAAATCAGCTGATGATCAATTTCTAAAACAAAAAATCATGGTATGATTTTGATTTGGATAGTTCAATTTGGAAACAAGTGACATCTTAACAATATTGAGTCTTCTAATCCATAATCATGATGTATCTCTCCATTTATTTTCGGTCGTCTTTAATTTATCTCAGGAATGTCTTATAGTCTTCAGTGTTGACATCTGGCAAAACTTTGTTAAGATAAAATTTTATGTTTTCTGATGCTATGGTAAATGGAATTGTTCTTTCATTTATTTTCAAATTACTCATTACTAGAATACAGAAATGCAATTTTTATACCTTTGACTCTAACTTACAACCTTGTTCAATTCATTCAATTCTAGATTTTTAATTTTGTGTAGAATCTTTTAAGTTTTCACATACACAGTCATGTCATTTGAGAAAAGTGACAGTTTCGGTATTTTTTTCCAATCTTCATGCTCTTTGTCTCTTGTTACTGCCTTATTGCTCTGGCTAGAACTTCCCTGTGTAATGTTAATTAAATAGACATGGTGGGAACTGTGAATAGGTGTTGAATTTTGAAAATGCTTTTTCTCCATTTATCAAGATGATCGTATTTTTTGGTTTGTTTCAGTTTGGTATTATGGTAGATTACTTCAGTTTATTTTCAAATGTTAAGCCAACTTTACATCCCTGAAATAAATTTCACTTTGTTATAAAATGTTATTCTTTTATATATTGCTGTTTGGTATAGTAATATCGTGTTAGGGACTTTTCTATCTGTGCTTATGAAAGATATAGGGTCTGTAATTTCATTTTCTTATAATGTCTTTATCAGGTTTTGGTATTAGGGTTATGCTGGCCTCATAAAGCAATTTATGCAGTATTCCTCCCTCCCCTCTTTTTTGAAAGAGTTTATGTAAGGTTGGTGTTATTTCTTTTAATATTTTGAATTCACCATTGTGGGCCTAGAATTTTTTATGTGTGGGAATATTTTTTAGTAGGTGTTACTTTTTATTGCTATTATAACAGATTACCACAAACTTAATAGCTTAAAACAACACAAATTTATTATCCCAAATTCTATAGGTTAGAAGCCTGACACAAGTCTCACTGGAATAAAATTAAGATGTAAGAGCAGGACCATATTTGTCTTCTGAGGCTTACAGAACTTTTTTGTTTTTGTTTTTGAGTATAGTTGACACACAGTGGTACATTAGTTTCAGGTGTACTACATAGTGATTTGACAAGTTTATACATTATGCTATGTTCACCACAAGGGTAGCTACCATCTGTCCCATTACATTATATTCCTCATGCTGTGACTTTCATTCCCATAACTTGTTCATTCCATACTTGGAAGCCTATTTCTCCCACTCCCCTTCATCCATTTTGCCCAAACCTCCCTTCCCTTCTGGCATCTATCAATTGTCCGTATTTATTGGTCTGATTGTGCTGTTTGTTTATTCCTTTTTCTTTAGTAGATTCCACTTATGGAGTAGAATCATACGGTATTTATCTTTCTCAGTCTGACTTATTTCACTTAGCGTAATACCCTCTATGTCCATCCATGTTGTCTCAAATGACACAATCTCTTTTTTTATGGCTGCATAATATTTGTGTGTGTGTGTGTGTGTGTGTGTGTGTACACATACCACATTTTCCTTATCCATCCTTTTTTTTTCAATTTTTTAGTTTATATTCAATATATAATGTATTACTGTTTTCTGAGGTAGAGGTCAGGGATTCATCAGTCTTATATAATACCCAGTGCTCATTACATCATATGCGCTCCTTAATGTCCACCAGCAGTTACCCCATGTCCCCATCTCCCTCCCCTCCAGAACCCCTCAGTTTGTTTCCTATGATTAAGAGTCTCATGGTTTGTCTCCTTTCTGATTTCATCTTGTTCTATTTTTTCCTCTCTTCCCCTATGTTTTGTTTCTTAAATTCTATATATAAGTGAGATCATATGATAATTGTCTTTCTCTGATTGACTTATTTTGCTTAGCATAATACCCTCTAGTTCCATCCAGGTCATTAGAAATGGCAAGATTTCTTTTTTTTTTTTTTTTTTTTTTGGTCCATCCGTCTATTGATGGACACTT